TTAGGATGCGTCTGGGTAGTCCATTGATGAGAAAGGCAGCAGTTAAAATTGCATCATCCCACAGATATTTGGATACATTCATAGTGAACATAAGAGCATGGGCCACTTCTAGCAGATGTCAATTCTTTCTTTCTGAAATTCCATTTTGCTGTGGTGTATCAGTACAAGACCTTTGTTGAACGATTGCCTGCTGGTCAAGATAATTACCTAAAGTGCACTGAAAATATTCACCACTATTATCAGTTCTTAAAACTTAAATTTTTGTTTGAAATTGAGTTTGAACCATTTTGTGGAAGGTTTGGAAACTTTGGCTAGTTTTAGATTTTTCTTTAAGCAAGTAAACCCAAGTTACCCGTGTATGGTCATCAATAAAATTGACAAACCATCGTTTTCCATTCAAGGTTGTTACCCTAGATGGACCCCAGATATCACTGTGAATTAAAGCAAAAGGCATAGAGGGTGCATATGGTTTTGGTGAGAAAGGAACACGAGTATGCTTAGTAAATTGACAAATATCACAGGCAAATGAAACAGTCTTTCTTTTTAAATAGAGTTGGTAACAAAAAACTTCAAATATAAAAAACTCGGGTGGCCAAGTCAATGATGCCATAACATTATTTCTCTATCAATAGAAACTGAAGCAGGTGACACTCCTGACATAAGTGCTTGTCGACTCTTAGATTATAAATTCTCAGGAAAATAAAGTCCCTCATAGGTTCTAGCACTGCTAATCGTCTTCCCCGATGATAGGTCATGAAATTGACACATGGAAGGATGAAAATTAGCTACACAATTATTGTCACGTGTGAGTTTACTAATGGACAGCAGATTGCATTTCAAGGTTGGAACATGTAGAACAGAATGAGGAATAAGGTTTTTTAAGATTTGTATTGAACCTATTCCAGCAATAGTAGCTAGAGATCCATCTGCAATCCTAATTTTAGTAGTACTAGAACACTGAGTGAAAGAAGAAAAGTGTTTAGAATAACCTGTAATGTGGTTAGAGGCACCAGAATCAATGATCTACGGTTCCTGGGTATGAAGTAAAGAGATCAAGGCTGAATGGTTTCCATTATGTCATAGTGCACAATCCTACATTGGAAATTGGCTTAGATAGTGCTGGTGTTGGAGTGAGGAGACGATAAAGTTACTCTAGCTGCTCCTTATTTAGTGAAATCAAAGAGTCTGCATGCTGTTGTTGTGTTGGAGCATCCATTTCATGTTTTATCTTGGGTGAACTGGAAGCTTCTTCCTTCATTATGCTTTCGAGGAGTCCAGTTTGCTGGTTTTCCATGAATTTTCCAGCATGTCTCTTTGGTGTGTCCAGGTCGCTTGCAATGATCACACCAAGGCCGGTTCCTTCTCTGTTGATTCTCGCTATTGGATTGTGGTCGCCTAGCGGCTAAAGGAGAGGCACCCGTGGTTGAGATCCCAGCATCATTATTGGAGTTTGAGATTGCAACATCATCATTGGAGGTTCCTAACATCAATCTTTTTCGACTCTCTTCCTACTTTACTTTTAAAAAAACTACACGAGCATTTGGTAGAGGCTTAGTACTTAGGATTCTTCCACAAACATCATCTAGGTTTTTATTAAGACCAAACAAAAACTTGTAAACTCGATCTCTTTTCAGAATTTTCTTGTACAGCTTGTGATCCTCAACATAGTGCCATGATGTTTCATCAAAGATATCCAGTTGCTACCAGTAACGTGATACAGTATTGAAGTATTCCATTACCCTGAGTTCTCCTTGGCGAAGATCATTCAAAATACCTTTGAGTCTGAAGATATTTGAAGTGTTCTCCTTGTTGGAATAACTCCACTTCATAGCATCCCACATCGCTTTTGCTGTTTTGTAATAGATGAAGTTTTCTCCTATCTCGTTATTCATGGAATTGATCAGCCATGACCTAACCATACTATTTTCTGTTTTCCAAGTTTTAAACTTAGGATCCTTCTCATTTGGTTGTGCAGCATCATCGGTAAGATAGTCTTCTTTTCATTTTCCTTCAATGAACATCTTCACGGAATATGACCATTGGACAAAATTCTGTCCATTGAATTTGTGACTTGTGATTTACTGAAAGGGGGCTTCAAATCCATTAGTTGGACTCGGATTGACAGCCCCTGATGAAGCAGAGGTAACCTCAGACGATGAGGTTTCTTTCCCGTTGGTCATTTCGTATTTTGGCATTACGGTTGGTTGAGAAATCAAGGTTCAGAGAGAATGCTCTGATCCCATGAAAGTAGATTTAAAAGAGATAATCTGCAATATCCTTGTTCGCCAAAAATCTATGCATAAAATGACTCCACGCAAGCGCACGCAATCGAACAAGTAATATAGTAGTGAGTAAAAGTATCATCTCCATAGGGACTGAGTTAATAAGGAATTTTATTACAAAAAACCAGTTTTGTCAATGTGATTGAGAATAATTTGAATGCCAAGTTGATATTGATTAAGTGAAATGAATGAATAAAATCAATGACTGTGATTGAAATGCGGACAAGAGGTAACAGTCAACAGGATCTAAGCTCAAAGCTGTGATTTAATGATGGATTAAGGCTAGGATTACTGATTTCCCCTCGGTTGCAACTCTGACCACGTTTTGCTATACGATTGCTGTAGCAAAGTTCATCTAGTCAACCTAGAATTCTACATAATCATCTTCCGACAGATTTATGCTTGTAGTTCCTTAAACCAAACCAACATATTCCTATGTGTTTTAGTTTACAAACCTGACGTTAAACATCAATTTTAATGGGTTGTATAAGATAATAATATATTCCTATACTATCTCTTATATTATCCAAGCTAGATCTAACTAAACCAACCTTTCCAGAATTAGCTTAAGTTTGTATCTTCTTACTAAATGATGGCCTGTCACTTAACAGAAAGTAGACAATAAATACACTTGAATAAACAGGATGAAGCTTACACAATGAATCAAACTAGCAAATAGATCTCTCTCTCTGCTCCTGTCCTCTACTCTTCTTTTTCCTTTTATACTAGGGCAGGTTGAGGTGCCCTAGTGACATGTGTATGCATGAGAGTCAAAATTGATGGTCCCCCCTCCTAGTGCTCTTACAGCTGTCCTGATTTGATAGCGTCAGCGCTTGGGCCCCTACCAGCGATAAAGGATAAACTGCGCTAGCTTGCTCATTTTGGCTGCATCTACTTTTGCTGTGACTTTGCTGCAGCATTGCTATGGGAATGGGGGCCTTCCAGCCTTTACGTTCTCCACTGCGCTTTTCTCACCAATTGCTTACGCCAGCACTTCCTTTGGACAACCTGCACTAAATTCCCCGGGTCAACGCATTGATTTAAATTGAGGAATAACTTCAAGATATAACAAGATTTCTCCACAAATATCAACTTTCTGTCAACTGGACAAAAACTAACAAATGCTACACAAAATACTAACACTAAGGCATTTTACCTTGAGAATATAAACAACTATTAAGCCTAAAAGTATGCTAAATAAGTCTATTTCAGTGAGTTATCACACCCCCAAACTTAAGTCATTGCTCGTCCTCGAGTAATGCCTAACACAAAACAGAACAACGTAACACGACATCTAAACACAAAATAAAACAAAATTTTGCTTTAGCTGCCAAGCAAGTTGATTCTCTATTCTCCAACAATGTCTCTAGATTCCCAGCTCATTTCCAACCGGCTTTTCATCCAATCTCGGATCAATCTGCCATTCTGCCCACTCCACAAATAAAATTCCTCTATATGTGTGTGTGTGAGACCATAGCTAACCATCCTTGAATCACCACGATTGCTCGAATCACGATCATTGAGCCTAACTTATGATCTAATAAGCTGATTGCTTGACCCCTCTTCTCTAGCATCAGAAAACCAAACGCCTAAGGCTTTACTCAACCCACAGACTATCTCTAAGGGCATTATGTGGGTGCATAATTATTCACTTCTTTTTTCTTTTTTTTTTTTCGAATTCCTCATGTCACTGCTGCCTTTTTACGCGAATGTCAACATTGGTGATGAAGACACCCGGTTACTTAGCAGCATCACAAACCAGATTTGCTTTAGTAAACTCATATCCCGAACCGCTGTTTGATGCAAAAGTACACATAGGGCTCATGTTACTCCTGGTTACTAGGCAGTTCGGAATAGCAGAGTATTTTACACATATGAGGTTTTTTATTTTTATTTATTTTTTTATTTTTTTACATGAGACTTGATACACTTCCACCCTTTTCAATATTGATTTACCCTAAAACGGTTGACTCCCTAAAGTTTCGCTTCAAGGGTATCACACAGTTCTATGATCCTAAGCTCTCACGATGACTCGAAGCTTCTAGGCTTTCCAATAGACAACTACGCTATGGTCTAACATGCTAAGTTTCAAATGATCACATTTATGGAGCTACCGAACCACAGATATCACCAAGATTTAATTCATGCCAAATTACTACACAAGCTGAGACTTTTGACACATTGTATTTTTCACTGAATGTCCTTAAACCAACACAGCTGCAGCAAAACCAAAGCATTTATTCACACCAAACATATCACAGAAATGCAACTTCGCTGTTTTTTCTCTCTGTTTTTTTTTTTTTTTTTTTTTTACAAAACTGAAACACTACCATTAAAATAGAACCAAACAACAGATACTAAACACAAACCTGTCAACCATACCCCCAAACTTAAAGGAAGCAGTGTCCTCACTGCTTGGGGGAATGATGACAGACTACCTAGAACAAACAGAACAACGAAAATAATATAAAACTAAACAAACATAACAAAGAAAGTTGATACTCCCTGGGCAGGGTAGGCAGGGCGCCTACCCTGTTACTCCTCTTCCCCAGGGTTGATCGAAGCGCTATCCTCGGAGGCAACTGGCTCTAGCACTTTTTCGGGAAAGTCAGGAAATGGGAACACCGGCTTGGTGAAATTTTTCTGAAGGGACTTCTTCATGGCGATGTCCCGTTGCTTGGCGTAGGCCCAATACTGCTACTGCTGCTTATGCATCCTCTACAGCATTTCCAACATTTGAGCCTGCTGAATTTCCTGGAGAGTGATTCGCTCTTCCAACATGCGGAGGGAGTTAACCATTCCCTCATCTTGACCCCTTCTACTAGACTCGGCAGCATGTCCACTGCTCCGACGCTTCTTTAATTCCAAAAATGCTTGATGACAATCGCCATTGAACTCAAACGGCTGACTTTGCTCCAGCAAACTGCATAACGGTTTAGATATTCTTGAAAAGTCTTTTATGAACCGCCTATAAAAACCTGTGTGGCCCAGAAAACTCCTAATTCCCTTCACTAATGTTGGCGGTGGTAGTTTGTCTATGACTTCAATTTTTGCTTTGTCCACCTCGATGCCTTTATTGGAAACCTTATGACCCAAGACAATGCCTTCTTGTACCATGAAGTGGCATTTTTCCCAATTGAGAACCAAATTGGTTTCCTCACACCTCATTAAGACTCTTTCCAAATTTGTTAGACAATCCCCAAAGGAGTCTCCGAACACTGAGAAATCATCCATAAAGACCTCCAGCGATTTCTCCACCATGTCGGTGACAATAGACATCATACATCTTTGAAAAGTCGCTGGAGCATTACAAAGTCCAAAAGGCATCCTTTGAAAAGCAAACGTCCCATACGGACAGGTGAAGGTGGTCTTTTCTTGGTCCTCTGGTGCTATAGCAATCTGGTTATAGCCTGAGTATCCATCTAAGAAACAGTAGTATTCCTTCCCAGCCAACCTATCAAGCATCTGGTCAATGAATGGCAAAGGAAAATGGTCCTTCCTGGTTGCCTTGTTCAGTTTCCTGTAGAGCATGCATACCCTCCAACCAGTTACTATTCTTGTAGGTATCAATTCATTGTTGTCATTTGGAACCACTGTGATTCCACCTTTCTTGGGTACCACTGAACTGGGCTGACCTAAGAGCTATCTGAGATAGGGTAAATTATCCCTGCATTAAGCCATTTAATTACCTCTTTCTTCACTACCTCTTTCATGATCAGATTCAACCTTCGCTGTTGCTCTACCGAATTGCTGCAGCAATCCTGCAGCAAAATTTTATGCATCCAGATTGATGGGCTAATTCCTTTTATATCTGCGATAGTCCACCCAATCGCATGTTTGAACTTCTTAAGCACCTCCAGTAGTTGCATTTCCTGCATTCCATTTAGTCCAGAAGCAATAATTACAGGAAGAGTGTCAGAATCACCCAAGTAAGCGTACCTCAAATGTACCGGTAAAGGCCTTAGTTCCAAAACAGGTGGTTCTTCCACCGAGGGCTTATATTGCTTTAAAGGCCTTTCTGATAATTCCAATGACTCGAAGTGCCCCCTAGATCTGGTTGATGCTTGCCTACCCTCCAGCCATGATATTTGTCTATCATTGTTGTCCTCATCAACCTCAGAATCCATCAGGTCCTCCTCTGTCATCAATTTTTCAGCACATGTCTTTTCAAACTCTGCTGCCACTAGTGAATCCAGAACATTAATTGCTGAGCATTCCTCCACCTCATCAGCAAAACGCATCACTTTGAACACGTTGAAAGTGACCTGCTGATCATGGACTCTCATTGTCAATTCCCCCTTTTGCACATCAATCAATGTCCTGCCTGTAGCTAAAAAGGGTCTTCCTAAAATAATCGGCACCTCCGTATCCGCTTCATAGTCCAACACTATGAAATCTACTAGAAATATAAATTTGTCCACCCTTACTAGGACATCTTCAATTTTGCCCTCTGGGTGAGCGTAGGACCTGTCAGCTAATTGCAGCGTAACAGTGGTAGGTCTTGCTTCACCAATTCCCAGCTTTCTGAAGATAGACATAGGCATTAGATTAATGCTTGCCCCCAAGTCGCATAATGCCTTTCCAATGTATTGATTTCCGATGGAGCATGGTATGGTGAAACTACCAGGATCTGTTAACTTAGGTGGCAGCCTATTCTTCAAGATTGCACTGCATTCTTCGATTAGTGCCACCGTCTCAAATTCACCTAGCCTTCATTTCTTCGAGAGGATATCCTTCATAAACTTAACGTAACTCGGCATTTGCTCCAATGCCTCCACAAGTGGAATGTTGATATAGAGCTGTTTTAGCACGTTAAGGAATCTCCTGAATTGCTTATCTTGCTTTTGATTCTGAAATCTCTGTAGAAATAGGGGTGGAGGTCTCTCTGGTCCGTTTTGCTTCAGCTTTGCTGTAGCATTTTGGCCGACAAAATCCTGTTCTGATTCAGCTGCTGGTTGCTGGACTTTCTGGTTTTGGATCGAAGAGTGCTCTGATGTTGCTGCAGACTGTCGAATTGGTTGTTCGATTTCTCTACCATTCTAAAGTGTGATAGCCTTGCAATGCTCCTTACCATCTCTTCTTGGGTTTTCCGTATCACTCAGAAGCGATCCTTGGGGTCTATTACTTAGAGCATTAGCCAACTGCCCTACTTGATTCTCCAAGGTCCTCAACGATGTAGCTTGACTTTGGAGGAGAGCTGCTTGACCTTGAATGAGTGAATCGTTCCTTACCATGTACTCTTTAAGCAATGCCTCCTTGGGGGTTGATGGTTCTTGAGGTGGTTGCCTCTGATTTGGTTGCTCTTGAGGTGGCTGTCTCTGGTGTTGCTGCTGATGGAACCCTAGTGGATATGCTGGTTTACTAGGCCCTGACATAGAACTAGCTCCCTGATTTGACCAAGAAAAATTTGGGTGTTGCTTCCACCCTTGGTTATATGAGTTGGAATAAGGGTTGTTATTACTATTGAAGTTGTTCACATAACAAACCGACTCAGAGTTGGATGGGCAGTTTTCGAATGAGTGTCCATCTCCACAGTAGACACAAGTTAATGCAATTGGGGTTGCTGCATTAGCTCCTGTAGCCACATTCATAGACTTCAGAATAGTGGACAGTGAAGAGACTTGAGCGGTCAATGCTGTCACAGCGTCTACTTCATGAATCCCCGCCACTCGTCTCCCTGCAGAAACTCTCTCAGTGGGCCACTGGTAGTTGTTGTTAGACATCCTCTCCAGAATTTCATAAGCCTCGTTGTACGACTTCACAAGTAAGGCTCCATTCGCTGATGCGTCCACCATGGCTCTAGTCGAAGCATTGAGCCCATTATAGAAGGTTTCCATTTGAATCCAATAACGGAGTCCGGGGTATGGACACTTCCTTAATAATTCCTTAAAGCGTTCCCATGATTCGCATAGAGCTTCCCCCTCCAACTGCTGAAATGATATGATATCATTCCTAAGTTTGGCATTTTTGTTCGGAGGGAAATATTTCACCAGAAATTTCTCAGCCAAATCAGTCGAATTAGCTACCGAATCTAGTGGCAGAGAGTTCAGCCATGCTCTAGCTCGGTCCCTCAGAGAATAAGGAAATAACTTGAGACGAAGAGCCTTTTCTGTCACACCAGGGGCCTTAAATGCTTCACATACTTCAATGAAAAGCCGAAGGTGCATGTGTGGGTCATCGGTTAGCATCCCGTTGAACTGCCCCACGGTTTGGAGCATTTAGAACATGACCGGCTTCAACTCGAACTTAGTCGCCTGGATTTCTGGCCTCACAATGCCTGGATGCAACCCATCGAGCATGGGGATGGCATAGTCCCTGATTGCACTGTCCCTATCCTCTGCTATTGCTACCACTTGATTACCTTGATTATTCCCACCTGCTCCATTAGCCATTTCTTCAATTCCAGCAAATCCCTGTTGTTCCCTTCTTCTTGCTCTAAAGGTTCTTTTAATCTCCGGGTCTAAGGGAATCAAATCTGCATCCCTTGGTCTATTCATGCAAGAAGGTTACACCTGCTTTAGCACAACAGGAGCAACTGAGATTAACAGAAGCAATATTGGATTTAAATGAACAAAAACTAATTTCTATAATAATTTCTATTAACGCCAATCCCCGGCAACAGCGCCAAAAACTTGTTCGCCAAAAATCTATGCATAAAATGACTCCACACAAGCGCACGCAATCGAACAAGTAATATAGTAGTGAGTAAAAGTATCGTCTCCACAAGGACTGAGTTAATAAGGAATTTTATTACAAAAAACCAGTTTTGTCAATGTGATTGAGAATAATTTGAATGCCAAGTTGATATTGATTAAGTGAAATGAATGAATAAAATCAATGACTGTGATTGAAATGCGGACAAGAGGTAACAGTCAACAGGATCTAAGCTCAAAGCTGTGATTTAATGATGGATTAAGGCTAGGATTACTGATTTCCCCTCGGTTGCAACTCTGACCACGTTTTGCTATACGATTGCTGTAGCAAAGTTCATCTAGTCAACCTAGAATTCTACATAATCATCTTCCGACAGATTTATGCTTGTAGTTCCTTAAACCAAACCAACATATTCCTATGTGTTTTAGTTTACAAACCTGACGTTAAACATCAATTTTAATGGGTTGTATAAGATAATAATATATTCCTATACTATCTCGTATATTATCCAAGCTAGATCTAACTAAACCAACCTTTCCAGAATTAGCTTAAGTTTGTATCTTCTTACTAAATGATGGCATGTCACTTAACAGAAAGTAGACAATAAATACACTTGAATAAACAGGATGAAGATTACACAATCAATCAAAATAGCAAATAGATCTTCATTGCAACTTTGGTTCCATCAATAATCCTAGCTAAGGAATTTAGCTCATGTTTAGCTCAATAAAATCAGAATTAATAACAATAAACAACTCCATCAAGTCTCGGAGAGAAAATACAGAGAGAAGGAGAAAATAGCTAAGCTAAAATCTGAGGTCAAAACCGCCGTGTATCCATGCAGTCCTGTCCTCTTCTAGCTCCAGCGCCCAAAATTCCTCTTGTACTCTCCTCTTTCTCTATTTTCAGCTCGTACAGGATCTGTGCGCCTCCTCTGTGTCCCCCTCTCTCTCTCTGCTCCTGTCCTCTACTCTTCTTTTTCCTTTTATACTAGGGCAAGTTGAGGTGCCCTAGTGACATGTGTATGCATGAGAGTCAAAATTAATGGTCCCCCCTCCTAGTGCTCTTACAACTGTCCTGATTTGATAGCTTCAGCGCTTGGGCCACTACCAGCGATAAAGGACAAACTGCGCCAGCTTGCTCATTTTGGCTGCATTTGCTTTTGCTGCGACTTTGCTGCAGCATTGCTATGGCAATGGGGGCATTCCAGCCTTTACGTTCTCCACCACGCTTTTCTCACCAATTGCTTACGCCAGCACTTCCTTTGGACAACCTGGACTAAATTCCCAGGGTCAACGCACTGATTTAAATTGAGGAATAACTTTAAGATATAACAAGATTTCTCCACAAATATCAACTTTCTGTCAACTGGACAAAAATTAACAAATGCTACACAAAATACTAACACTAAGGCATTTTACCTTGAGAATATAAACAACTATTAAGCCTAAAAGTATGCTAAATAACTCTATTTCAGTGAGTTATCAATAGGCAACCAAAGTAGGCTGACTACTAGAATAAAGAAAATCTTCCTAATAATGCGGCAGATTTGCTGTAATAATCAATTCTGATTTTATTGAATAAAATCTAATCCTAGACAACCGGGATAATCAATAAGAGAATATTTGAATATTTCAAATTAATTCAAAATCTTCCAAATTGATTTATTCTAGTAGAATCTGATTAAATCAATCTGATTTGATCTACTGATAGTTCGTACCATAGCCTTAAGAGAAACCATGGCTTTCGAGAGAGTCATATCTCCCCTCAAGGTAACCCCCTTTCCTCCCACCTTAAATTTCATCACTTGAGACTTCCAATTCACATGCATTCTTCCCAAAGTTTCTAAGCATTGCATGCCTAAAATCACATCCACACCTCCTAATTCCAACAACAATAACAAGCCTTAATCCCAACTTAATTGGGATTGGCTATATGGATTTCACTTTTTCACGCAGCTCCGTTTAAAAATAGACTTTCCTAAAGGCCTAGATCTTGAATGTCTCTCCTAACTACTTCGGTCCACGTAATTCTTGGTCTACCCCTTCCTCTCCTAGTATTAGGTATAAGAATGTCCTCTCAAGCACGAACTGGTGCTTCTAGCGGTCTACGTTGGACATGCCCGTACCATCTCAAGCGGCCTTCGCACACCTTATCTTCTATTAGTGCTACACCTACTTCACTACGAATAACTTCATTTCTTATGCGATCCATTCTCGCATGACCACTCATCCATCTTAACATACACATTTCTGCCACACTCATCTTACATATATGTTGTCTCTTAATGGCCCAATGTTCACTCCCATATAACATAGCTGGGCGGATTGTAGTCCTATAGAACTTTCCTTTCAACTTAATAGGCATCTTGCCATCACATAAAATTCCCATAGCATTCTTCCACTTAACCCATCCTGCCTTAATCCTATGTTGAATATCCTCTTCTATATCGCCTTCATACTATAGACCCAAGGTACCTAAACTTCCTGGAAGCCTCAATCTACACACCATCTAAAGAAATTCCATCACTCGGATTACTTGAGTTACTTGAGTTACTAAACCTATAATGCATGTATTCAGTTTTCATCCTACTTAACTTAAATCCCTTTGTCTCAAGAGTCTGTCTCCATAGTTCTAACTTACGGTTAACTCCTTCCCTGTGTTCATCAACTAAAACTATATCGTCCGTAAAAAGCATACACCAAGGAACTTTATCTTGGATTTCTCTTGTTAGCTCATCCATCACAATCGTGAAAAGATAAGGACTAAGAGCAGATCATTGATGAAGGCCGATCCGAATGGGGAACTCTGCCGTGTAGCCTCCAGCAGTTCTCACACTCGTGACCACCACATTTTATATGTCCTTAATTACCTTGATATACCTCACATGCACTCCTCTTTTCTAGCACCCACCATAAAACTTCCCTCGGTACCCTATCATATGCCTTTTCTAAATCTATAAAGACCATATGTAAGTCCGTTTTGGCTTATTTGTAGCTTTTCATCAGCATCCTACGAAGAAAAATGGCTTTCGTGGTTGATCTGTCTGGCATGAAGCCAAATAGGTTACCTAAGATGGTAGTTGTGACCCTTACTCTCCTTTCAATAACTCTCTCCCAAAGTTTCATAGTATGGCTTATTAACTTTATGCTCCTATAATTGTTACAATTCAACACATCTCCTTTATTCTTGAAGATGAGGACAAGAATACTTTTCCTCCACGCATTAGGCATATGCTTCTTCTTTAGTATCTTATAAAAAAGCTTATTGAGCCAGACAATTCCAACATTTCCTAACGCCATCCAAACCTCTATTGGAATATCATCTGGCCCACATGCCTTCCCCTTTTTCATTTTTTGTAGTGCAGTTTTAACTTCTGAGACTCTGATTCCTCTTGTATACATCACATTAGGTTCTCCTTGTGAACTAAGATCGTCAAACTCTATCGCATGATCATCATTATAAAGCTTCTCAAAGTAACTCCTCCACCTTTCCCTAATATCTTTATCTTTTGTCAGAATTTGATCTGTATCATCCTTAACACACCTCACTTGATTTAGGTCCCGACACTTCCTTTCTCTTATCCTAGCTAGTTTATATATATCCTTCTCTAGTCCCAAGTTTCCTACATACCTCATCTAAGTAAGTAGAATAAGCCTTACCAATTGCTCGCTTAGCTTCTTTCTTCGCTTTTCTGTACTTATTAAAAGTTTCAATATCCTTATGCTTTGGTAAATCTATATATAAATCCCTCTTGGTCCTAATAGCCTTTTGAACTTCCTCACTCCACCACCAGGTTTCTTTCCCTGGGGGGCGTTTACCTCTAGATTCCCCTAGTACCTCATTTGCCACTTTTCTAGTGCAGTTGGCCATGGCATCCCACATAGTATTTGCATTACCTTTATATGACCAAGTAGCCTCCTCTAACAACTTCTCTTTAACGGTCAATTGCTTTATTCCCTTCAAATGCCACCAATGAGTTCGTGGGAGGCAGTTTATCTTAGTCCTTCTATAGCAAAGCTTAATGCTCGCATCTAAGATTACTAACCTATGTTGGGTGGCTAGTACTTCTTTAGAAATTACTTTACAATCTTTACATAGAGAACGTTCTCTATACCTTGTGAGAAAATAATCTATCTGGCTCAAGCTCCTCTCATTCTTGAAAGTGATCAAGTGAGAATCTCTTTTCTTGAAAAATGTGTTTGTTATGATAAAATCATGTCCCAACGCAAATTCCAAAATAGATTTTCCTTCTTCGTTTTGAGCTCCAAAACCAAAACCACCGTGGATCCTTTCGAAGCTTTTCCTATCCTTACCAACATGGCCATTGAAATCTCCTCCAATCAAAATGTTATCCTCATTGGCTATATGACACACTAAGTCATCCATGTCTTCCCAGAACTTGACTTTAGTTTCTGCATCCAGTCCGATTTGTGGAGTGTAAGCACTAATTACATAGATGAACTTTCTTCCTAGTGCCAATGTGAGCATAATAATTCTATCCCTTATTCGCTTAATCTCAACTACGTCATCCTTCACCGTTTTGTCCACTAGAATACCAACT